CTCGTTTGGAGTTGGTTAAACTCATTTTATTGACAGTTTCTTATATGACTAATTTCTTTTTTTTGCATGAAGTCAAATCCATTTCAGTGAGTTTGTCCTGCTCAAAAATATGCAGAAGTTCACAACGCTTAAAAAATGGTTGGAAAATCTGCCCTCCAAGTTTCATCAAAAGAACAGTGTACATAATACGAATTTGCATTTGAATTAATTAAATTGAATCTAAGTTTATAAAGTAAAGGTTACATGAGTGAGTGTCTGATGGCTTACACCCATTACATTCCTGCCCCCCCCCCCCCCCCCCTCAAAAGAGGTATTTGCAATCAAATTACCATCATATGATGAAATGTTGTAGCTGGAGAGGCTGATGCTGAACCACCTTCGTCACACGCTCGCTATGGGATCGTGTGACCTCCCTGTAGAAACGCATGGGAAAAGCTCTCTGCCCTTGAACAAGGTTGGAGACCATCACTAATTACCAGAGAGCAGGGCGGAGGGCTGCTGGAGACTGTCGTTTGATAGCAACACAATGCTCATTTTTCACGCAATAATCTCCTCCATGTACAGATCTAAGTGAAAGAATGATAATAAAATGCCAGGGTGTCCTCAGGCCCTGTTATCCTCTGTGATTTGGCTTTGCTGGGGGAAAACTATAGTGGAGTGAGGTTCGAGCCGCTGGAGGAGAAGAAGAGATGAAGGGTATCGGACGGCATTTGTTTCAACAAGAAGGGCTGAGGGTGATAGAACAGGCGTTGAGCCAGAAAGGAGATGACCCCCCCTCCCTTTTTTTAATCTGCCGCGATGCTCGTGTCAATTGGTAAAGGGGGTGTGACCGATAGAATAGATTCACAACTTAAAGGCTTTATACGACTCCCTCCATCCCTCCCCTTCTTTAATTCTTCCTCCCTTGTTGTCTTCCTGCAAAGGACCGGGAAAAAAAAGTAAAGTGTAAAAGAGGACGACTGAAAGATCTCTGCCAAAAGTGCAACGTGAGATTTAAGCTGCAAGAGGAAAGCCAGCAGCATTAGCTGGTTAAGTATCAGCAGCAGAGAAGGGGTAATGGATGTAGAAGGGGAGACATATGAAATGTCATTAATGTTAATTCTAATCACTTTTTGGCTATTAAGCACAAATTAGTGAAGGCAATGTTAAATGTCATGGTCTGTCCTGGGATTCACATAAGAGAGGGTGGGGGCCACCGAATAGGTTCTCATTTACATACTTAAGATCCAACTTAATTCTCACAAGGGGTGATGGGAAATGAAGCCGAGTCGTAAACCGACGACGATGAAACGCAGGCCGGGGAAAAACACAAACGTTTTATGGCGGCTGATTCTTCATTGTTCGTCCTCAAGGTTATTTTCATGAGCCTGTCGTCGAACGTCATTCCCTTGAATAATTCCACTCAGGCTTTTTCCTCCCTCTGGCTTTAAGGTTTGCGCTATTTAAGACCAATCATGTCAATGTGGAAAAGAATTAATCCTGCTTAAAAATATCTTACATGACTAGAATGTATGTTAACAGCCCCCTGATCCTGTCTCTGGATATAGACTTTAGTTTGGTAGAGCGGGAGATAGTTGAAGTAAATAATCATGTGGGCTAGATATCAAGAGGAGTTCATTGTCAAGTTCACTTATGTGCTCACAGGCGCTTGTTTTCATGTAGGTACTCCGTATCTGTCAAGCACTCCAGTCCTGGAAAGAAATCAAGGCAGTGAAGAATGCAGCATTTTAAAAGCAAGTCGAGCTGGAGCCCCACAAAAACCATGTCATGTAATTCATTGCGATAGATAGATTAACCTCAGTGCACCGCAGAGGCCTCTGCATTCTTGTCCACATTGTTCTAATGGCAGCCCACGGTCTTTGGGAATATCCTGTGTTTTGTTATTTTTTTATTTTTTTTGCTGCTCTCTCTCTTTCTTTCCTCTGTGGCTACAGTTGACTGTGGGAGAGTAAATAACATTTGATATGCATAAACAGCCCCTTCCTATTCATTACTGTCAGAGCGTTGGAGTGCAGGAGGCGGAGGTCAGCATGTGAAGGTCCTCCTCAGGCAGGAGAAACGCCTGTGGTAGCTGTCACTCCTCAACTCCCCCCCCCCCCCCCCCTGCCCCCCCCCCCACCCACCCCCCCCCCTCTCCCTCACTCCCCTATTAGCACAGGCTCCGGGTCATAACCTTTCCGTGGCATTTTGCGATTCCACAACCCTTTGATTAGTGCAATATTTACATATTTCACAGTGGTGAGGGTGTTCTTGTGTCGCAGACACTTGAAGTGTTGTAAATGCGTTTGGCCTTTTGCCTGGGAGATGCGGAGGAGTCAGACTCTCTGGTGGTAACTGTAGTCAAGGCTGCCGCGCTGATATATGCGGCGTAGTGTGTTTTAAGTATATTTACCCCTCCACCGCCCACGCTGCCGCAGCCATAGCACATGTACGAGTGCCATTTGGTCCGCGATGTGGCCCCTTGTCCTCCTGAGGAAGGCCGTTTAGCAGCCATTAGAGAGGGATAGTGCTCCCTGGTGGCAGATATAGATCATGCCCTCTGCCTTGGACGGTACACAGCAGAGCTCTGGAGGTTTGCATGCAAAGAAGAGGAGGGGGCGCTACTCCAGACGGATGACTACAGTTCATTTTTAAATGTGAGAACAGCACTAGAGAGACCAGAGAACCGTGGATGAAATGCAAGGTATGCTTATGGTGAGCCACACAATATAGTGTACTGTGACAAGAGTTACAGATCTTACACATACAGGTGTAACACTGACAAGTGTTGGTCAGAGAGAAAATGAATCAAGTGTTATTTGGAAGGATTTTTAGTCTCACTAGCAGTGTACTTTTTAAGATGGTGGCCTGTCAATTTGTCAGTCCACCACTTTGGTCTCTACATCTGTTGGATCAGGGGCATGGGTTTGCATATAGACGGTAGACATGTCCCTACCAATATTTTGGAGGACAGGATTGTCCCTACCGATATTTGAGTGGCGTCAATCGCATTATGTTTGGAGTGAAGTCATATTTGATCATTTCAACGGGCCCTGCCAGAGGCTACGTCTCCCAGACGGCCAAGCATGCTTACGTTTGATTGGCTGAAAGGGAGGGGGCCCACCTGAAGGGTCACTTCTCATCACGAACATCGCACTTGCTGCCCGAACTCAGGACTGAGCTAATCACTGTGCTTCAGTTATTTTGACATGGGAAAAGTTCGGACTGCCGTGTGGCGTCTTTCCTCTGACCTGTAGCTCTGCGTGGCGGTYTCTGTGTCCCCCTCACTTAGAGACGACCTGTAGCTCTGCGTGGCGGTCTCTGTGTCCCCTCACTTAGAGACGACCTGTAGCTCTGCGTGGCGGTCTCTGTGTCCCCCTCACTTAGAGACGACCTGTAGCTCTGCATAGCGGTCTCTGTGTCCCCTCACTTAGAGACGACCTGTAGCTCTGCGTGGCGGTCTCTGTGTCCCCCTCACTTAGAGACAGCTTTGCCCCGTTTGGGACTGTCTCTGTACCGGCTGTGAGCTGGATCGGAAGTGGTGAAGTAAGATTTGTGTGGACACTAAGCCACAGAATGATGAGATTTATGCCTGATCAGATGTGTTTCCTGTTAGTTTCGGCTTCTGTAAACTTTGTCTCATGCAAAGAGTCTCAAACGGGGTTCTGTATCTGTCAGACGGTCTGTGTAATGTAATGCACATCTAAAGTCAGAATGTTTCTAACTGTTATGAATGGCCAAATTGGAATGCAGAGTGAAAAGCTGTCATATTATATTGTTCAAATGGGGATAACACGCACGTATTTGTACAGCCTCTCCTTGAAGTTATTCTTGGTGTTGCACTCGTTTGAACAACACGAAAAGTGATGAAAGTATTTGTGTGGAGAATGAAAGAAGAGAGTAAATCCTGCCTACTTTCTTACGTCAGTCCCGTGTGAAATGGGCTTGCTTTGTCAGATTGGGTTTTCGTAAAAGTTCTGAAAATTGTCAGACACAGCCCCCTCAGATCCAAACACCAAAAGGGAACGGGTTTCCTGTGCTGTTCGACAATCCAAAAAGCATTTCTTTTGAAGCATACTGATGACCTTTTATGTTCCCTGGAAGTCTAAATGTTGTTTTAGACTTTCTCACCTTGATCAGAATATGATTCTGAATGAAACACGAAATCCTTCAAATGGTCACATAACATCCATCACAATGAGATGTCTCTCCAAAAGCCCCTTCTTAAAGACCTGTACCTGTTGCACCCAGACATAGGTAGAATAGACAAGCATTCAAACAGGTAAAAATGAAAACCTTCTATCTGCTCGAACGCAAAGGTTGTCTGTAGATATAACCCTGTGTTAAAAGCAAAGTCTTCCGAAGAGAACAACAACGGCTTTCTTTTGCGACATAAAGACGTGAAATAAGAAAAGCACATCATACCGTGTTCTCCACCACACCTATCCATCAAATCTGAGTCGGCCTGACATTCGCCGTATTTTCCGCCTCAGTCAGTCATTCCATCAGTCAGTCAGCTTCTCTCCGCTGTGTGACAGAGAGAAGAGATGTCAGCGAACAGGTTTTCCAGGGAGCTCAGGGCCGTAACGTCTGCCTCCGCAGTGACTGATGAGGTTGGGAAGAGTGACGGGCAGCTGCAGTCTTCTCTCAGCCCGCGGGCCTGCCTGGCATTAACGTTATGTGCCATGTTCTCAGAGGGAACCTGTCATTCACCCGTCGCTCAAACCGACAGACAGATGGTGCACATAGACACCTCACATGAAAGAGACTGGCAGAGTAGCGACGAATCCCTAGGTGGTCCCTCGTAGTTGAAGGGTGAGGGTTTCTCATCACCGTTGCTTGGCAGCTCGACTTCAACCGCACGGCCACACATGGACATCAAGGTGCCAACGGGCCCGGACCAAGATCAAAGTCGCTATCCATCAAACATGTCACATGCTATGAAAGGGAACAGCTTGCAGTATGGCTTAGGTCTGATCTGTTTTCACCTCATCGTCATGAATCATGACCACTTTCACCGTCTTCTGCAGGTCGTGGACATTGTGTGGGGAGCCAAATCACAGCCCCATGGGTTTTAGAAAATAGATGCAATTAACAATCAGCTCGTTGTTTTGGGGGATGAAGTGGCAGATTTGACCACAAATAGCATTTCTCCAAGGATGGCAAGTTTGTTGTGAGTGTGGAAATACTTCTGTAAGAGCCTGTACTCCATAATGAGACACTAAAAAGCCAGGTATGGGAAATATGTTCAACAGAGTGGTCAGACCCGTCTATTCATCCATTCAACTAAGCAGATTCCTATCCCATTATTATAGAGGTCGCGAAAATCCTGGATGCTGGATACGTTGGTCACAGGTTGTATCCATGTTTGAATAGATTGATGTACCAGAAAAACGACATCAGAAATTCCTCATGTGTACCGTAAATGTTAAAGTGGCTATAAACAATACTTCTATAATAACTATGTATCCTCTTCGGTTGTAGCAAGCTGATTCTTTTCAGTAATAAAGCTCTGAAAACTGCAGATAGGTGAATGTGGTTTCTCTTACCTGTAGCTGGTTAAACTAACTGTTGAACAGGAACTTAAATAGGAAAAGTCCCTATTGTATAAAAACAAACCAAAAGACAGGCTATTTGTTACTTTAGAGTGAACAACACCAGGTCACTGGAAGATAAAATGGCCTGTTAGGAATCTGAGGGTCTGCAACCTTTGCAATGACTGTCTGGGAGGCAATATCCAGAAAGTATACACTACATGTAAATGAGGTTCCACACTATATGCAACCATGGTCTTGAATCAATGAATAGGAATCTGGTCATTTAGAGCTTCCAGTAAATCTAACCTGGATGCACTGAGTGAGGAACCCAGATATGCTGGGACAATATATAAACATAACAGTGTGGGTCCAGTGTGTTGGATTTTGGGGTATTTGCAGAAATGAAATATAAAACTGTATTGTTTTGTTTTCATTAGTGTATAATCACCTGAAACTAAGAACTGTTGTGTTTTCATTTGCTTAGAATGAGCCCTTCATAACTTCATAGGGAGTGGCTCCTCTTTGCATAGTCTGTCGTGTTGCGCCGCCATGTTTCTACAGGAGCCCAGAACAGTCAAACCAAACACTTGGTCTATCGAGTGACTTTCACACTTTTACGTTACCGGAAGGCTACTGTAGTTCTCCGACATGGTAACACCAGCCTCCGTCTACCTTCTGTCGGCCCTAGTAGTGTTATTATTGTAAGAGTGGCCTCTGAGTGAGGCAAACTTATGCGGCAACTTCCGGGTCAGAAAATAGAAGCCAGTGCCTTAAGCTTGCATTCTTTTCAATGGCCATGAGGGGGCAACTCCTATTTGAAAGAAAAAGTCAGAATGTCTATGACAAATTTAGCTTACTTCTCACTTGAATTATTGCTCAGTGAAGATTTTGAACATGACTTTATGGTCTCAATCGCTAGTTTCAAGTCTTTTTCAATACAACATCATGTGAATTTAGTAAATTATGGTCCATTTAGAGTAAAATAGACCAGAAAGAAGGTATGTTTTAGGGCGTAGCTACCTTGTGATTGACAGTTGGCTACCACAGCATTGTCCGGTCTGGACGTTATCCGTGTTTTTCGCAACATAAACCCTTTCACAGTGTGTTTTCACTTTATGAAAGTTAATTGTAATAGTTTGGTTGCCTAAAAATGTCTTATTCAGGACTCTGTTGTACTCTGCTGTACAAACCAGTGAGTGACGTCACGGTGACTACGTCCACTTCTTAAATACAGTCTATGGGTGAACGGCGTTACCACAGTTTTCCACTGAATCCTACACACTCGCCCTTTAACATTAAAGCCCCATTTAGTTTAAACACGTGACTGCCTTTATACAAGGTGGCAATGCTAACCATAGGTAACATTAGGGTGTATCAATTCATTTTAAACCTAAATTATAGCTAAATCAAAGTTTGTTGCAGGTTTTTGTGTACTGAAGGATGAATTGTGGACATGAATATTTAGGATTGATATGCCAGTACAGCTTGTGTGCACAGTGCTGACGGTAACATCTGACGACAGTGAGTGCCCGTGGCAAGAATATGTTTTATGAGCGACACAAAATCTTTTTTTAAAATATGCCCAGTTTTTAATAAGAGATGGTGCATTTTTTGGTTGTTTGTAAATTCATCAGTGGTGTGAGTAAAAGGAAAAAAAGAACATTTGCAAACTGCTAATCTGTTTGAAGCTTTTTCATCTAAACTTGGACGTGTTCAGTCACAGTTGCTGAGGTAGATTTTATACAAACAAGCAAACCCAGATGAAACACTGCCAACAGGTGCCATTTTGTGTGTCTTTATTGTGGACATGACATTACATCTTTTTGAAATGATGTACAAAAGTGTAACAGAACTGAGAATGGCTCAGACGAGGTAGAGCTTTCACATCGGTTGCTGGCATGAAAACTACACGGTATAAAAACAAAAACAACCCGGAAAAATCAAATTAAACAAACGCTCCTGTCTGCCTCTGTCCTCTAATCCTTTTTGAAGTGATAATAAATACAGATACCAACCAAATACATTTGGAATAATAATGTCTTCTAAGGTAAATTAATCATGAAGTTCACAACAAATAAAAAAAAGCAATACGGACACAAATAATACAACTTAAGAGGCATGATAAAAACCCAACCGCAAGAAAAGAACAATGCCTGCCAGCCCCTCTGGGAGGGCCAGCCATGACTAGCTACTGAACAACTCCTACAGTTTAGCAAAGAGAAAGACAATAAACACACTCTTACATCTTTGTGAAAAATGAAGCACTGGTGCACCTAGCATTATCACACTTTCAATGAGGAAACAGAGCTAAAAAAGCCGTAAAAGAACAAATCATTTGTCATTAATATCTATGGAATCATCCTAACAAAAAGCCTCTAAACCAGAAATGACATTGAAGCGTGTTAGCTGGCACCGTTAAAAAGACACTCTTAAAGAAACCTTAGCTAGAGTCGGACAAAAGGAGAACGGTTAAAGCAGTAACCTAGTCTAAGTGCACTAGTAATGCCATTTGGTTTCTACCGCTGTATATAAGGGTTTGGTAAGAGTGGATTACAGATAAACAGTTTATATACAAAGTCACTCCTGCTTCATAGTTTTTCTAAGTCACACTTCGGAGTACAAATTCATAACTGAGGAGTTAATCTTAAAGGGAATTCTGTACAACATTGGTATTAGTACTACACTACCTCGAAGGCTAGAGTATCCGTTTCAAGTATTTTCACTACCCACACCTTCAATATACACATTTGTGTATTATTAGGCATACTCAAGCACACAACATTGTATGCATAACTCAACAACCCACTGGTATAGCAACCATTTCATCATCATGGGAAAAACTGCTGAGGTCTCAGAATAGATGGGAAGTACAGTACTCTGTTTGCTCCGTAATCTTTAACTGTTTTGAAATTTGGATTTTTATGCTTATAAAAAATAAAAAAATGTCTCCACATGTTCCACTCTTGCTTTATATGTCTGAGCTGCTTTCAGCTGCCCTGCTATTCTTCCTCTTTTCCCCCGACGTGTCGAGGCCGTTGAGGAGAAAAAACCAAGCCCAGAACACGAAAACAGCATCCCCCCCCTCCTAGCAATGAACAGTCCTGGCTTCACACCAGCCTATGGACTTAAAAACAGGCTTTCATTGCAAAGGAGTACACAGGAGTTAGTCAACCTCTCATACAGTATGGAGAGGTTTGAAAAGAATGCACATACTCACGCATAAATGCGAAACTCTTACACACACCTGTGTTAAGGCTGTGACGGCTCGACAATTCAATTGGCTTCAAAACGTCTCCATCTCGTCTTATCATACCTGAACTCCCTGGAAGCCTGACCTCCTGACCGCTCTCTGTCTGTCTGTCTCTCTGACCTCCTCACTCTTTCCCTCCCAGAATGCAAATCTTCACATCTCCATTCAAGAAATTAGACCGACAGTATTGGGAGTCTGGCTCATTAGTGTGTTTAAATGCTTTGGTAACAAAATCAGCTCTGCGTCTCTGGTTGTTCGCTATGTCGGACGTGCATGCTGATACACAACGGACATGCTGAATTAATATGTCTGCTTTATCTGTTCAAAGGAAGAGTTTGGGACATTTTGGGAAGTAAGATTGTTCGTTTTCTTGCTGAGATAACACTCTCATGTGTCTCTCCACTAAATATACAACAAGAAGCCTGTTAGCTTAGCTTAGCACAAAGACTGGAAACAGCAGTTAACAGCTAGCCTGGCTCTGAATTTCCATTCTCAAATTGTTTAAGTTGAATAATTTTCAGAGGCATTTTACAAGATTAGAAAATAAACCTAACATTGTGGAGCAGAAGTTTGTTTCTGAATCAGGTTACATTGATGCTGAGGTATGATGTGCTGCTGACAGGCATTTTACCAGAGAGACTGGGTAGGTTTTGGTATCAAAGCGTTCATCACATAAAAACCAACAGGCCAAAGAGTCAGTGTTGCCCTTTAGCGATATGGAATCAAGATGCATCTTTGCTGGTTAACACTTGCAGTACCATATTCTCCTCTGCAAGTGCACAGGTTGGTAGATCTATTTGTGCAATCCACAGCTGAGCCAGCGTCTTCCCGTCGTCCCCGCTGTTTTGAAGTCAAGTCGAACTCAAAGTCAGAAGTGTCGGAGTCGGAAACACTCCTTAATGCGAAGGAGTTATGGAGGAAAACTGCCTCCACTCAGTCCCTTCCTCTTAAATTGACAATAATTGAATGACCATAAAAGTGGTACGCTCATTTATATAGGCTATTAAAAACGCACACTCTTTTTAATGAGCACTAAAGCAGACACCCCCATTAGCGTTCTCTCTCTCTCTCTCTCTCTCTCTTTAAACCTACCTCTCTCCAACTCTCTCTCTGTCCTTCTAATCATCCGCTACACAGACTCAGAGTGGTCATTGCACTCCTAACATTTCACTGTGGAGTGGAGGGAAGTGAGTTTAACACACACGTGCATGCAGACACACACACACACACACGCACGCACACGCAGACAAATGCACATCTTCATCTTCATGAACCCCGAGGAAAAATGAACTTGCAACGCGTCAATTGTCTGTTGAGGAATTGCAGAGCATCTTCTCTCTCATCTCAACTCTGATGATTGGTGTCCTGAGGAATGCACAAACTCTTATACAATAAAGCTTTAAAAAAAAAAAGAAAAAAGAAAGGGAAAGAGGGAGGCAACTACAGCAGCCATGCAATGCAACAATCCTTGATTAAAACGCTAGCAGTTGCATTCAAGTTCAGTTTTTCCTTCGCTTTTCTTGTAAAGCTGCACGAGGCAACCTCACGTGTTGGTACCTCCGAAATGGCAGCAAGAGGTAACTCTTTGAATTTTGAGGGCTTCCATATTCAGAAATCCTTCAAGGTGATGTAAACTACACACAATCTGCTTAATTTTGCCAACCTTCAAACTAGAGAAGCAAAAGATCAATCAGCTTTCGCGCCGAGGACACAACTTTATATTTCACTCTTCAGCTGTGTGCACACCCGACACCTACATTTCTAACTGCAGAATTTCACCAGAAATTCTTCCTGTTGGTAAATAAGACACTCTTCTCTGCCGCAGCCCCACATTGTGATTTTAAAATGGCCGAGCACTGCTGTATTTAGCTTCGTATTAAAAACTACAATAGCCTTCATTGTAGAAAATTCTTCTAAGGGCATTAAAGGATGATGGGTGAAGAGGAGAGGCTCAAAACGTCTATCATGGGTCTTGGGTCCTACTTCCGGTCCTCTGATTTTTAGGAATGGCCGATGATCTTTTCAGGATGTACGATTCCCTGGCTACTCTGGTCCCAAGTCCGGATCCTGGTCTATCAAATGGTCTCTACTGCTGTTGCTGTTGTTGCTGTTGTTGTGGCATTGGTGAGTGTTTGGCAGCCAGCGGTTCTTGCTCCTCCTGGCTCAGTAACAAGCTCCTTGTGTCTGGGTACTGGCTGTTGTCAAAAGGCATATGGTGGACACTCTGGACGTGCGTCTTTAGGTTCCCTTTCTGTGATGCTCGGTATGGGCAGAGCTGGCAGCGGAATGGCCTCTCCCCTGAGGAACACACGCAGTAAGTTCAAAGGTCAGGCAGAGGCCAGAGAGGACGTCATACATGGGATTAGGAGAGGACAAGGCTTTTTAGAGAGTTTTGAATATACAGGGGATTAAACGAGACACAACAATGTAAGCCACGGATGAGACTCTCTGCAGTACAAAAAAAACAAGATGGAGAAGCGAGCAAACACACAGACAAACATAGACACATGGTGGCATTCAACTAGAAATAGAGGAATATTATGCAGGTCGAGAGTAGCATTCACATTACATTTTTTACACCTAATTTCACTTAAAAAGTTAACTTTGCTCCCTTGTGCTGCCGACCCAGATGGACAAACTATTCCTTTCTCGTTCCTGCCATCTGGAGAAATGTGCCACACATCCCCTGTCTGAACAGTCCTAATGTCATCTCCATGTGTTTTTTCTCAATCACCCGGACCACCCTATGCCCCCACACACCCTTCCAAACACACTCGGCACACACCCCGTACTCTCTCTTCTAATTAGACTGACCTACAATGGCACAGACACCTCGGCAAAAATATTTAAAAAAAAATAATTAAAAAAACTCAGCAGCACACACCTGAACAAAACAAATGAGATTGCCATTTAATTGCACCTAATTATCATTTTGATAAATGGAAGAGTATCAAAGCAGGAAAACAAATGACTCCCCGTGCCCCTCCCGCACCCTTCTCCCTGAAGAAGAAACAGGGAAATATAGCTGTTATCATACATCATCAGAAACACAACCGAGAGAAAGAAGAGGAGGGGGTTGGCGGGGTAGGGGGGGTTGAGGAAGAGAGAGATAAAAACTAAAAAGGTATAATTAATCACACAAAATTCAAAAAAAAAAAAAGCAAACAGCTGGAGAGACGGTGAGGGCGAGACGTGAGAAGAAAGCGAGAACCTCCATGACATCGTCCTGCGAGGAAACATCGCTGACGGGACCGGTGCACTACATTATAATAAAGGTTATCGTCACCGTAAAGCAGCGTCAACACTACATCTAATTGGACCCCTCCGCCGCGCCTGCTCCCATCATTCATCGCGTGCGGTAAATCTGAGTCCTATGTGGGTGTGTGTGTGTGTGTGTGTGTGTGATTAATTAAGATGGAGGTGCAGCGTCTAGAACCCGGCTCTCTCCGAATGTCAGAGCAGAACAGATTTACTCCTCGGCTCCACCTCTGTCTCGATGACTGACTCTAACAACTCTTTAAAGACATTAAAGAAACTACAGGGAATGTGTGTTCTTTAAGTTTCTTACATGTTTGTGCTAAAACCCATTTACACTTTTCTGGTCCCTAATGGGGACAACTAGCTTTAAGTGACATTTACAAGCATCTGGTGACTTTTCCTCACCTACTAAAATAACCGATAACCCTTCAAATGTAATTAAGACCAAAAAGTTTTCTTTCTTTTTTTCAATAAGACTTCTGCGGTGTGTATACTGGATACACACAATAATGTCAGGTGTGATCCAGCAGCATATGAGGATGCCAGGTGTTAATGCCAGGTGCCACATGTGACTGTTACACATGAAAAAGAACGAAACAAAACGCTCACAAAAGGATGGGGGGTGCGGGATTGACACAGACACACATGCGGAGGTGAGACATTAAGAATACGAAACATGCAGAAGCGATGAGGGGGCCCAGTGGTTAGCCATCGTGCCACATACTTGTTTGGGAGCCTCAGAAGCGGTGGTGTGAGCGTCAGTACCTCTGTGGAGTCCGTTAAAATCAAACCCAACTGTTGGCGGGAGAAGGAGGATGGGGGGTGGGGGAGGAAAAGGAGGTGGAGGGGAGGAAGGGGAGGAGGGCATTCGGTTAAAAGCTCTACCAGATCCACACAAGCATTTTTCTTTCTCCTTGCACCGCCACCACCACCACTAACCCCCCCGCACACACTAGCATTTGCCACCAGCACCCTTGCTAATAGAGGGGAGCTGGCAGTGATGATGGTGATGGTGATGATGATGATGGCGGCGATGATGTTGATGGAACCTGGTGGAGGCAAGTCAGTGATTTAATATGACGCATATTAATAGAGGCCTCGGGGTGGCTGGCCTTTTCTGCGTGTGCACGTCCATGCTGAAGACAACCGTCGGTGACAACATTAATTACAGCTTCTGCGAGTGTTTACAGACCCTATGCATGGGCGTGTGTGTGTGTGTGTGTATGTGCAGGGCTTGGGGGGAAGCTGAGCGCTGCATCACTTACCATTTGGCCTCTGTCACTTAGAATCACTGGCTGTGCCACATATCATTCACACTCTCTATAAAGAAGCTACTTATCTCATTGTCTACTGTGATCACTGCCGGGTCCGCTTGATGGACATGACAGCACGGGAGAGGGAAGAGGAGGAGGAGGAGGAGGAAGGGGGAATTGAAGAGGGAGGAAGGTAGACAAATGGGAGAGGAGAGGAGACAAAAGTGAGAAGGACAGACGAGAGGAGAAAAGGTGAGATGAGAGGAAAGAATTAAGGAAAAGGGGAGAGAAATAGTGGTGGAGAGACCTAATAGGTGGGTAGAAAAGAACAGGTGAGATGAGACAGGAGAGGAAAGAACAGGTGAGCAGAATAAATGACAGGAAACAGGAGAGGAAGAGGAGAAAAGATGAAATGAAAGAGGAAGAGGACAGGAGGAACGGTGGGACAAGAGGAAACAAGAGATGAGAGGAAAAAAGAAGAGGAGAGGAAATTAAAGTGCACTAAGGAAAAGTAAACAGGAAATGGAGAAAGTGGAGGAAAAGGCAGGATGTCTAAATCGAGCTGTTTCGTAAATGGCGTCGGGACGCATGCAAATGGATTCATAAGGTTGGCGTGGACAAATGCTGTTCTGCTTCATTAGAATGCGCAATTCCATCTCTCTAATTGACATGTGATTAATAATGTATACAATTTGTCACAGGTCAGTATCCGGAGCAAATCATGTTTCAGTTTAAAAAATAGAGACAGCTGCCCAGCCCAGGGCGGGTGAAGGGACTCACAGACTGGCTGTCACACTCAACTGAACAAAAAAAGATCTGTTTTGATTTATTTTGGAGAATGCAGGGGACGCAGTGGACGTATGGAGAGTCGGACGATGAAATATCGTCGAGAATGTGAATCCCCATGCATATATTCTCTATATCTCATGTGAGTGTTTCTGGGTGAATGAATAGCGGCCAGGGGGATGATGATGTGCGTGCACAGGTGGCGCGGGAATGACTGTTGAAGGAGTGGCCAAAGAAGTGGGAACATCTAGTGAGACATGAATAATAGTGGAGGATGCTCCACAGGACTGTTCTTACGTACGGTATGCTAAATTGTCATTGCTGTTTCTTGTTCGCTGAGGTTGTTCGTCTATGTCTGTCATACCCTGCCCTTTTACATAATTCTACAGTTTTTGTGACTCTTGCTGTTTGGGGGGGGTGGGGGGGGGGGTGTTACTGCATGTGTTGACATTGAAAACTAATGTTAAAGGACTCAATTGGTCTGTTTGGAGACCCAGGGCCCTATATTAGCACAAAAACAAACATACCTAACATTGTTTCATCATACTTGATACGTCATGGCTTCTCCTAATTTGCAGAGAATTTGCTTGAAGACATGATTCATGCTGACATGATTGTGTTTTGTCACCTTAGTCATATGTGCACGCTCATTTTGTGGGTTGCTGCTTAAATACCTTTCTACATATTGGGTTTTAATAAGGTGAGAAGTAAAGGAAAGAAAACATCAAAGGGAATTGCTTGATTTTGCAATTATTATTATGATTATTTACATACAGCAGGGGGAGTCTATGTGATCCCAAAAATGAGGAGGTAAGGCCGATTTCACCAAAGCACAAGGGTTTAAAGTTGTGATTTAGAACGCATTTCTGTCAGGTGTTTCCATTAATTCCACCGAGCCTCTGGAAGTACGCGTACGTATGTAATCTGTGTTCCTGTGGCTGTGTTTGTGTGTCACCGTCTTGTGGCTGTATTTACCTGTATGGGATCTCATATGTGTACGCAGGTGGCTGGGCTGACTGAAACTCTTCCCACACTCATGGCAGAAATACTGTCCCTGCCGCATCAGAGACCTCAGCATCCCTGATGACACACACACACACACACACACACACACACACACACACACACACACACACACACACACACACACACACAGAGAAACATACGATTAAGCAAGATACCACAGAGCAAATCTCAGTACAGTTCAATCACAGGTTCATTATAACAGTGGTCAAAACAGATATGGATCAAATGCAGTCTATTCTTTAAACACTGGTGAGTTAAAGCAACCTTTAAATATTGTTCCGTATCAGTATTTCGTTCTGGCTACACCCATTTCTATTTTAGAAGATCATATTTTGCCAATATTTTACGGAAAATGTAAAGAAAAGGTACATGTTCACATTTAAATGCTAGTGTGTGCTTTGTATTCCTGTGTGATATTTCACATGTGACTTTTTCTTCGAGGATGTCCACCTTAGAAAAAGGTGGACATCAGCAACAGTTTATTCCGAGGCGGAAGACGCTTTCAGATTGAATGACGGCGTAAAGGTCAGTAATGGGCAGAAAGTGAGTGGGTGTACGTGTATAAGCTCAGAGCCTGGCTGCAGCGGTGGAGGTGGGTAGCGTCAGTAGTGGACTCGCGCATGCAGACATCATTAGTATGTCTAATGTGTCATTATGAGCGGCTAGCTCCAGGGGCTGGACTGCAGCTGTCACACAGCATCATCTCAGAGGCTGACAGCCAGACACACACACACACACACCGCATAAATTACAGGCAATTAAAACGCCCCGGCTGTGATGTGCCCGCTCCGCTGCCCGTGTGTCACATGTCAGGTGTGTGTGTGTGTGTGTGTGTTTTAAGAGTTGTATATGCGTGTGTTTGGTCCGAGGGAGGAAAGTGAGGCATGGACTGGCTACACACACACACACACACACACACACACACACACATACACACACACTCATAATGACACAATGACACCGCCATTACATGCACAAGTCCGATTTACATGTTAATGGCCTTAATAAATGGCAAAAGAAACTTGTTGAATTTTGATGACTTCAAATCTCGTAAATCCTGTCACCAGACATGACACGTGTAAACGAGAAATCCGAAATGTTTTTCTCTCAGTCGGTCTCCTAGTGGAGGCGGGGAAAAGATTACATCGTTGTTAAGTTGCTTTACTTTCTTGCCCTCTCAGTGTTCATGCAAGCCTTTGAATGTTCTTGAAGCTTGCTCTCCAGTGTTCATAGCGGATACAACAATGCAAACTGGATGCATTTACCATCCAGTATTATTGCAACAATTCACTGAAGTTATTCTACCTGAGATGAACTAACTGCATTTTAAATTAATATCATGACACTCATGTGATATCAAAACCTCCTCAAAGTAACTGTACACCTGGGCACACCTTGCACTTCTTGTTTCAATGCTATAATGCCTAACAAGAACATATTTATGCTAATTGCAGGTAAACAAATTAAATGCAAAACTTTATTTCAATTTTTTGAATAGAGCTAAACCAATACATCAGCAGGCCCATATATATCAGCCGATATCAGCTTGTTGAAGATATACTGTTATCAAAAAACGCAAAGTTGTGTCATTACATAATTTGTCCACTAGAGAGCACATCCAGGTTGATTTTTTTTTAACTGTGAAATGTCTCGTTCAGAATGTTTCTTTTTGGAATAAAAACAAACATTTGAATTCAAATGGATCCGTATTAGATTGTATTAGATTAGGTTAGATCAGATTGTATATTGTCTATGTAAAAAAAATATTGTTGACTGATATATCATCATCAGATTCTCATAACTCCCAAATATCAGTGTCAGTGTGTGTGTGTGATTGTGTGATTGTCTGAGTATGGTCAGAGCAGCTGGAGCCACAGAGGAAAAGAAGGTTTTAGGTTCAAAGATAGTTGGATCCATTTCATGTCATTGCGACCACTACCAATACACACACTCATGCACAGAAACACACACACACGTACACGTGCACTCCTGTGACCTCTCCTGCTGACAGATAACAGGCCTGGGGGTTTGGTGGTGCTTTCGGTGAGGGGGATTCCTACGACACAAACCCCCGGCATCATCAACACCCACAGCATTAATGCTGGGCATATACCTGGGCAGTGCCCAACAGTTGTGTGCATGCTTGTGTGTGTGGAAAGTGCTGGGGATTGGAGGGACACAGCAGGACAGGGAGGACAGGGAGGACAGGGAGGACAGGGAGGCGGAGGAGGTGACAGAGAGTGTCTCTGGCAGCCCGACTGCTGGCCTCTGGATACTCTACTTCTACTCTGGGCCGCCAGCCCTTCTCACTGATGCACTAATGAAAGACAAGACAGAGCTGGACGGAAAACACAAGCAGACACACACACACACACACTCGTACACATATTACAGGGAGAAATGGGAGAAAGACTCAGTTGCTCAAAAAAAGGTCACTTTATAGCATGTGACTCAAAGGGCTAAGGCGGATCGTGACGAAATGCGCCTGGACGGGTGACAGCGATGTCACGCGTCTGCTCTGGGGCTGTTGTCTTTGACCTCTGGCTCCATACAGCCCCACTTGACCTTAGAGACACAACCGAAAATGGGCAAATAATACGCGTGTTCGGTAATGACCATTTCCAAAGCAGCTGGTGGGGTAATTATTCTGTCTCATCTCTCTCTTTGCCTCTTATTTTCCCTCTCTCTCGCTCCGTTTTCACCTCCCTCCATTCGCATCTGTGCGAGTCTCTCGTCAGGCAGAGCCCTGACCTAAACAGTTTGTGACAGCTTTCTGGGAGAGTGGAGCTGGAGACTAGGCATGCCTCGCAGACCTGAGAGTAGCAAAGGTTCTCTCACGTCTCTCACATGAAATTAGAAAAAGCAAAACACACACACACACACACACACACACACTCATTTTGCATCTCAAAACCCAAGCACATATGGACACACATGCACGGACACACATGCTGCCCCAGATACATCACATCCCACAAACGTGTAAAGCACACGGGTGCGTGCCCATTTAATGGATCTACTCTTCATTATTCAAAAAGCTTGTCAGAATCGAGCAGTACGTGTGTCCGTCAATCACTTTCTGCCAGATGGCGAGTTAGTGTGAGAGAGGGAGTCGGCATGTGTTAGAGAGGATAAATACACACGCTTAATTGAATATGGCTCATACGTTTTGGATCTATGTTCTACTGCGGGTGTCTTTTCCTGGTTTAGCCTGTCGAGTTTAGGTCATTTTACTCATGACAGCTCAAAACCAAATGCTAAGTCACTGGAAAACATTTCTCCTCAACTCCTGACATTTGGCATTTTCTCCAAAGCAAAGATCCTGATGACGAGGGATTTAACAGGACTTTCTCCTATTCCCAACGATGGTATTACTAGGACTTAAACAAAAAAACACACAATTTGGGTTTTCTACACATTTTTCACATGTATATAAATCAACGAATTGAACAAAAATTGTAATTGCTCCCTACCAGTGGGATCCATCAGTGCATTGGCTGCACCCCAGCGGTGGTAGAGGGACGCCAGCTCATGGGGGTTGTAGTTTTTGAGGAAGCCGAGGATGTCAGTTGGCATCTCTGGTGTCTCCGCGATTGGCTCCTGCTTCACATCTCCGCGAGCCTCGGAAGGCAAAGATGTAGAGAAGGAGGAGGAGGACGAGGAAGAATTCACCAGGGTGCCCCCGTGTGCCTGGGAGGCTCCGTAGTTGTGTCCTGCTGTGGAGCTATGAGTGTTGGTGCTGGGCCTCGTCGTATTAGCCCGGCCCTGGCCGTGGGAGTTGGAAAGCGGCTGATGAGGGGAACCCCGAGCTCGGCTGTACTCTGCTAGGCCGTGTTTGCTGGACAGCATGAAGCCAAGGCCCTCTTGGGGCATCAAGTAGCGGTCAGCAATCCGGGACGCAGTAGCAGAGCTGGGGCTTGGGGCTGAGGAACATGAGAGGGCGCCAGTGCTCTTCTCCATGGAGCTGGAGGAAGACGATGGGCCTCCCCGAGGGTACATATCCGTTTTGGGTCTGAAGCGAGACTGTTGACTCTGGTCCTCCGTGTGTCTGACGCTGCTGCTGCTGCTATTGCTGCTGCTATTGCTGCTATTGCTGCTGCTGCCTGGCCGGACTGGGACTTTCCCAGCTTTGGTGCCTGAGGTGGATGAGGAGCCCCTGGAGAACGAGGAGGATGGGGTAGAGGAGGATGATGATGATGGCATGGCTGCCTGACTGGCTGGCCTGCTCTTCTTCAGAACCTCGCTGGAGTAGGTTGGGGGTCGGGTACGTTGGGCACGCATCAGTGGAGGCAGCGGTGGGCATTCCTTCCCCTCCAGGACTGGCGGGGGACCAGTGCGTCTCCTGGAGGATAACGAGTTATCCCTGGAGCCCTTGGAGCTGTTTTTCAGGGCCCATTTAGGAGCCAGATTGGAGCTGCTGCTGTTGATGCGGTGAGCCACGGTCTGGTGCATCCAGAGCACCTCTGGGTAGCGGGTGGAGTGGGAGCAGAAGGAGCACTTGTGGCTTGGGAGGCTCTTCCTGTCCTGGGTTAGGGTGGCTATGCCCCTGCAGCCCTCAGCCCTCACACACAGATCCACGGGAGTCAGGCCGGGATTGAGCGGGGAGGATCGAGCTGAAAGGTAAGCAGGGGGGGACGCAGAGTTGCTCAACCCCTGTAGAAGAGCTCTCTTCAGCTTAGGATAACCACTTGGGGTGCCTCTGTCCGAGCTGGAGCCGGGGCTGGGAATGGGGCTGGGTCTGTCTCTGGGGTCAGCCGGGTGTTGGACATGAACATGAGTCAAATAGGCCTGCAACTCTGAGGCGACAAAGTCACAAAGGCTGCAGATGTAAGGCTTCTCATCTGTAGGGAAAAAGGAAAGACAACAGAAAGGTCAATGACTGCAACGAAAATGATCTACATTATACTCTTCCCTACTGCCAGCTATAAACCGGAGTTCATTACTCCAGCTCACTGTGCCAGATTCATATTGTTCCATCCAGATGTAGGTTTGCTGAACAGCCACCAGGCTGCAGTATTGGCCAGTATTTCCATATCTCTCCTCACCTCAACCTATCCTGAAATAAAACTATTACTTCTACTATTACAAGCACAATAAACATATCAACAGAAGAATAAACAATGAATAATTATATCCATCATCAATTAGATATCGTTTTAAGGATTTGATGTTTGTTCAATGATTCATAATGATGCTGTAATAGTTATTATGTTCAGATGTCTCAGAGAGTTGTTGATCCATCACTATGGTAATGGTTGGTAATGTATTATGGTCCATATGGTGCGAGACAATCACACCATGATATTAAACAGCACAGTAGAGTTGAATCAACACAGTCTGACAAATTAAACAACTGGGCTGTTATAAAGCTTAGTATTAAGTTGGTTTAATCATTGTAAAGGATTCATTGTTTACTCATATTGCTTCCTGATTTCTGAAGTGCAGCTCTGTGAATTCCCCACAAGATGGCGTCTGACCAGTCTTTCTTTACAAGTGAATGTTACTGTTGTCCCTGGAACACTTTAAATCTCCCAAAGTGTTACAGTTCAGGAATTAAGAGAATAAAGATACAAATAAAAATAGGTATTGTGGTAGTAGAAGAAGTTGTATTCATAGTGAAAGGTTATTAAATGTAAAGTAATCCCCAAGTTTAAAACCAGAGGTTTTGAACATAAACCCTCAAATTAGCCAGAGTCTGGGTCATTCTATCATCTTACACGCACATACATGCACACACTCCAACAGATCAGACTCTGTAAGTATCACATTATGGTACTCTCCACTACTCCTCTTGTTCACAATAACACCAGTAACATGCCATCTGTTTTTCATTTGGCTTCCTGTTGGCAGCACTAGCCAACACACACACAGCTCAAACTCTGCCAAGGTGAAGCCCTGGTGCTGTGCAGTCCTAGTGGGGCGGCTAGTTAGACTGGTGTGTCCTGTTTATCAGGCCACTATCGGTCTTTTGTTATTTAGTTATTGTTATTGAAAAAGTCAAAGAATTGAATAACCTCATCATAAATAGCTTCACACTCAAAATATTTTATTGCTCTTCTATAGAAAGTCCAATCCTAAATCAGAACTGATTTGTTGATCAAGTTGGTATGTGCCTGCACACTGTCACTTATCATCTACATCCACAAAAAGTACAGCTGTGAGGGACATCAGAGTATTCGCAACTATAGCGTCCTCTGAGTGTCTCTTTCCCAATTGCCTGCCTCCCTCTCCATCGGGAGGTGACTCTATAAATAACCAATCCCTCAGACGTCGGTCGGCCAGCCTGGCTGGCTCAATGGTAAGAAGAGCGGATGAGTGACAGTGGAAGTGTCACAGGAGGTAACCTTAGAGATTAGGAAAGAGTCAGAGGGGGACAGGGAGAAAAAGGGATGGACGGACGGACAGAAGCCATCTCGACAAGAATACTCGTCTGGTAAACACTGAATTCTTTAAAACGTATACATAGGCTGGCTTTGTCACAAATATAAATACATTTCATCAAAAGAAATGCATCAGATTCTATCTCATTTTACAATGTCCCTTGATGTTGCAAGGTTTTGTATCTGATACATTTGTACATAGTGTATATGTTGAGCTGAAAAGATCCTGTGTCCCAAATGCAATTTCTGAAATCAGACACCAGGGTGCATGTGGGTTGGAAGAGAGTGAATAATATACAGTACATGTATTATTATAAGTTAACCACGCCTTTAACTGCTGGAGTACAGGACTATTATAATGCTTCATAACTAATAATTGGTTGTTATCAAAAAAAACAAGCAAAGGGAACATGCAGACAGATTTTCATGGCAAAGACATAAAAAAGGAGAGCAAAAGACATATTCACGCACAGATAAGGGGGGGTGAGGGGAGTTTCCTGAGACAGGAAGACCTGAAATAGCACACAGCTCGATCAGGCCCGAAGAAATGTTGCAGATATTTTTGAATGTCTGTACTAACAGGGAGGAATGGAGGCTATCACTACAATTCATAGCCATCCACTATCCTAACCTGTACAAACAGTGTTTTTTCAGTGAGTCTGAAAGTTAAAAAGACAAAAGCCAGAGAGCTCTGACGGGCTGCTTACACAGGGATCCTTCCTTTTAACATATTTCAGCTGTGATTATGGGTGTTTTGCCCTTGCATGGGTAGGTTTTCTTTTTCTGCTCGGCAGTGTTTATTGGTTGTGGAGGTGAAAAAAATGATAGGCATTCCAAAAATGCCCTCTCCTCTACTGACATGCCACTGAAAGGCGCAAACTTCCACTTAACCGTGCGCTTTATTGCTCTGTGATACAAAATAATTGCACTGTTGTAAACAGAATTTTTTCGGTGGCCGTTAAAGTTTATTGACCACATTTCGATAGTATCCGTGAGTAGCCTCTCTATAAAAGAGCTGAAGTCAGATGTTATTCTGACATTTTGCCACACGGTGGCTCCAGCTCCCACTCCACAGAGCCTGATGAGCTGAGGAGCTGCACCTACACAAAGCACATTTCATCAACAGATGTTTACTACAGAGTGACAGAGGCAGGGGGCCTCGAGTGGGAGGCTTGAAAAGGGCTACAGTTATTTCTGCTAATACAAATGCTGCAGAGCGTGGTTCTTTTGGGGAACTGGGGTGTATACCATTTGTCTCTTTGCATAGCTGGAACATTTTCCTATTACAAACAGTAAAGTAAGCTGTAATTCCCAAAAGACTAATACTCGCATCAAATTCTTCAGTATCTATTTAATTATAGATAATCATTTAAATGTCAAGATAAAACAAGATAAAAACAAGACAGAAGTTTTTGACCAACCTGCAATCACTCCAGAGTTTGCGGTACCCATCTCTGAGGCCTGGTTTCCCAGGGTAGAGGCTGGTGGAGAGTCTCCGTACCCCGGAGTGCTGGGCCGGCTAGGGGAGCCTGACTCCGGATCACTGGTGGAGCCCCATCGGTCGTCTCTTGTAGTTCTGTCCTTGTCACCCACAGACGCCCGACCTCCATCCTTCCTGTGGACCCGCTGGTGGACGATCATCTGGTGACGACTGCGGAACACCTTCCCGCACTCAAAGCACTCGTTGGACTTGGAGGACGATGGTCGCCGTCGGTCCTGGCGAGACGAAGGCCGGTACTCGGAGTCGCTGAGGCTCTCTGGTGTCCGGTCCCCTGAAGAAGCGTGGCTTCCCAAACCAGAGCTGCTGCGTCGGCCCGAGCTGCGTTTCTCTTGACCTTGCAGGACATAACGACTGCTCTCCTTTTCAAAAACCACAGCAGCTCCAGCGAGGGCCTCCTCCCCCATACTCCCTCCCCCATAGGAGGCCTTGTAACTCGGCTCCACTGGCTCAACAACCCTTCCTTTCGTAGCTAATTGCCAGGCCTGGTAGCTGCAAACTGGATCTAGCTCTGGGATTCTTTGACCTAGCATCTTCTTCTCACTCTCCTCTTCTTCATTCAGGGTCTTTTCTTCAACAGGCTTGAGGTTTAAGTAGTCAATCAAACGTCTCTTAGCAGCTGGTGAGTCCTCATCGTCACTGAGTCTGCATTGGCTCTGGGACTTCTTGCCATAGCTGAGACTGTGGATTTTTTCATGGGCCCTCAGACTATCTCTGTTGGGGAACAGGTTCCCACATTTGGAACACATTTGATAGATGGATGTTATGGAGCAAGTGGCAATTTCCGGATCCTGGGCTACGTCGTTAATGGTGGCCGGATGCTCAGCGGAATCTACTTTTGACCGTGACCTGGATTTGGTGTTGTGGGTTTTCATGTGCGATTTGAGGAACCAAGCTTCCCGGAACCGCCTTCCACAAATACGACAGCAGTGGTCCAGGATCCCTGCATGTTTCTTCATGTGTGACTTAAGAAACCAGGCCTGGGTAAAGACCTGGCCGCAGGTCTCACAGGGGAAGGTCCCGTCACCCTGGGGTTGGGTGACATCAGGCTCGGGCATAACCTCTTCCTTAACAGTGGCCTCCTCCTCTGTGTCTGCTGTTATGTGGACCTTTTCAATATGGCTGAGGAGCTGGTCTTCTCGATGGGCCTCGTAGCCGCACAGGCGGCAACAGTAAGGCCTCTGGTCGGTCACAAGCTTCTCTCTTTTCAGGCTCCTCCCAGGCACTTTCCTCCGACTCTCCTCGCCACTGTCCCCGTTGATCATCCGGTTACAGGCTGAGCTGCTCTTAGTTGGACTCGTACCTCCGTCGAGACCCTCTGAAACGCTCATCTCCTCCTCCTCAGCAACACCCTCCTCATCCTCATTGGAGTGGTGGCTAGAGAGCGTGCCCAGTTTGTGGCTGCGGATGTGAACTTTGAGGTTGCCCTTCTGAGAGGCCCTGTGGTCGCAGTAAGGGCATTTGTAAGGGCGCGCACCAGTGTGGCGTCTCATATGCTGCGACAAGGAGCTGAGGAACGGGAAGCTGCGTCCGCAGACGTTGCAGTCGTAAGCCCCAGGGATTTTGTCGTCCTCACCGTCAACCTCGTTTTGGACCTGGTCTTCAACCAGCTTCTCCTTCCCTCCCGCCTGGGTCTCCATCACCTCCACACTGTCTCTACGATTCATTGTACGAACTGAACTACCCCTTCTACCTGGCCTTACGCAAGCTCAATAAAACCCCAAACTACTGCTATCTGCAGTTGCACATCTAGGGATGTCTGGCGTGCCTTTGTTGGTCAGTTAAAATGCTATCTGCCGTCAATCATCCAGAAATCAAGCTGCTTACACAGCAGCTCATTTAGCACTCTCCGGTTACTGGATGCAACACCATCTATCCATCTTCATCTAGCACTGTCAATGAATCAGTGGCGCAAACTATCTGAGTGCCACTGGCACATGCAGCTGTATCATTTATTTAGTCACAAGAGGTAAAATGTAAACTCTTTTTCATGCTAAATGAGTCTTTGTCCAAATAAAGGGAGAGTTTTCACTTAATTCCAGGTCGTCATTGTGTCGGTTGACGGAGGTTTCGAAGGGTCTTTTCATCAGTGTTACTTTTTCACCACACTTCTGTCCTTCATTTTATTATCTTCTCTTCAGTTTTTACGCACATTAGCAGCATCCAGGTCATGTAACAGGGAGCTCTCTATAGCGCGGCCTGCACGTACTCCATATCATTCACCTGATAGAAAGAGACAAAGTGGGGAGGAAGGTGAGAAAAGAGACAAAGAACATGTGAGTAAAGCAAAAATTCAAAGGCGCGTTCAGTTTTCAGACACATTCAGCTCAGCTAGCTACAGCATGGAGGTGGACTGCATGTGTCATAAGGGAGATCTGCATTTGTTTGTGTAGTAAGCTATGAATTAAAAAGTAGAACCTGGTGTTGGGGATCATCACATAGACTTAAACAGAAATAAAATACAATCCATGACGTCTTTAGAAACATGTACAGTTGTGCTTTTGGAGTAAAATTGCAAATCCTAACACATAAGCAACTTATGATTAAAAATGAAAATGTTTTTAGATTCACTTCATATACAAAATCAATGAGTTTGATAATCAACTCCTTCAACTCCAACTACTCCTTCCTAAACCTCCAAATCCATTGCAACGTAAACGAGTTCAAATTGACCTAAAAAAGATTTACATCAGTATAAATCGAGGGCTGATGGGGTGTTATCATGTCCACAATGTATCTCTGGCTGACACTGTGCACCACCACCATGCACGTGTATGTGTGTGTGTGTGTGTCCTGGTTGTGCATGATTCACGCAGGGCTTGGGGGCTCTGACGCCACACTGGCTGAGTTGACACTTTGCACAATCAGCGTGCGTGGGCGGGGGTTGGGGGTGGTGGGGTTGGGCTGTGTTCACATCAGCAAGATCAGCAGTGCCACCATATTCCCTCCCCATACTGGCCTCAACCACCCGCCTCAACTGACACTGTCACATGACAGGGATCTTAAGTACACAACAGGAAGTGGCTCTTCAGACAGTTTGCTTTGCTCTATTTCTCAAACTAGAGTTGAACAGGGTCGGGTAGAGAGTTAAACAGAAACACGGTGTTGACTAATTTCATACTTCATAAATTTCCTTCAGTGGGTGGAATAACTTGCATATTTTCACCAACAGTTTATGTGTATTATTTCTTGCTGCAAAGTCCCAATCTTCTCACAAGAATCACCCAAGTTTAATCACGTCTTCATTCTTTTCTCTTTCTCAGCTCATCGATAATATCATTACAAAAGCCCCCTTTCTGTTACAGCGTTGTTGATTACAATGACATATTTCTGACTGGAGTATTGCTTTCAGCAGATGCTAGAGCCTGAAAGTGTGGACCGTATGAAATGTGACTGACAGCATTATTACAGGCTATTATATAAAGTGCCAGGGCCCATAAGCTGAGTTACTGCCAGGCTCTAATTATAAGTGGATAATTGATCATAATCATAAGAGGATAAGGTGGTGGAGCAGGGAAGTTAGCACAAGAACAATCATATGTCTTAAACTCTCGCACTGACTCAAAATGACTACCCTGCGCCAGAGCCACCGATCTATCTAGAAGGATTTATGCTATTGAAATCACTGCGCCCCCAATGGTTCACCATGCTTCCTCCTGGAGTGCTTATCATTTAGGCTCCCAGCTAGCGAGTACAATGCTGTCTCAGCCATTACATTGCATTTGAAAACTCTTAGACTTTCACATCTGTGGCAGCGACGTTCTGTCGGTCAGTTGGGCCACCACTTTGGACCAGACTGAACTACTTGATGGATTACCTTAAAATCCACAATGAGGATGAATCCTGATGACTTTGGTGATTCCCCCTGGCTTTTCCTCTAGTGTCACCATCAGTTTAAAGTTTGCACTTTACATACACTTGATGGATAGGCATACAATTTGGCAGGACATTCATATGTCCCACAGGATGAATAACGATCCCTGACTTATCCTCCAGCGCCACGACAAGGTTCACATTTATGGTTTTGAGTGAAAAGTCTCAACTATTTGGATGGATTGCCATGAAATTTGGCATGGACATTAACGTCACATGTTGGAATTGTAATTGTGAGCATGTTCACGTGCTGGCTTTAACATCTAGCTCAAAGCACCACTGTGCCTAAGTACAGCCTCACAGAGCTGCTAGCATACAGTAGACTCTTTTAGTCTTGTTTTTAAAAGTATTACAATGTTTATTGCACGCAATAGAATCAACATTGTTATCATTGTCATCTGTGTGCCTTGTGCAATCACATGAGACGGCACAGCAGTGTGCAGTTTTTAGTTTTAATTATTTTAACACCATTTTGATTCTTAGTGTAATATACAGCTCACATTCATCATGTCTGCGCAGGTGTAGTGTTTGGTGGGATTGATTCAGGTGCCTCGGTTATATAAGATACCCACAAGCTGTTTATAAAGTAGAAAAACATCTGACCAAGTGAATTATCTGAATTTATGAGCTTATGGCTTTATTAGACAGATTAAAGATAAAAGAAGATTGATGATTGTGACGTACCACTTAAACGAGGAACAACAGAGCTTAAGGGAATTACATCCAGCACACGGCGTGGTGGACAATCGGGTGATGATGGACATAAGTCAAAAAAATAAATAACACAAATCCGTCCAACCCCATCTATCCATCCACTGGCTTTTCCCTCCATCTGTTCCATCTCTCTGTCTCCACATCCTAATGTTGCTCATTAATACTTAGTGGTTTCTTCCAGTTCTGCCGCTAAAAACAGAGGATAATAATCTTATTTCCTGTTAAATGGCCTCGCTAATTGGGGGTCAGCGGTGGCAGGGGGGGATTCAACAGTAAGCCTGTCATCCACCAGACAGTCGCATGTGCAAATTGAAATGCAATGAGATTAGCCCCCAGAAGGGAAACAATGCAGGCTCCTGGCTATACAGGCAAAAGGGGAGGAGAAAAATGACAAATTGGCTTATGGAAGGAGAAACTGTCCAGGAGAGACGGAAATATTAGCAATCATCGAAGTCATCAGAAAAGAGAAGAGAGGCATCAAAGCTTTCTGAAAGGCCAACATGGTTCAGTAACTGGATAAAGTGTCTTCCTGAAGCTAGCAAGAACAGTCCACTTTGTAAATTGTCATTGATATCCTCCAGCTAATAAACCTCTCTCACACACACACACACACACACACACACACACACACACACACACACACACACACAGATTAGTAAGACTGGACATAGGGTGTAGCTGTAGTGTGTTATAGTTAAATGCTGTATTCTGATGGAAACCCTTTGGAGTCACTGTCTTTTTTTGTCCTGCAGGAAAATGATCACCTTTAAATACTTCAGACCACTCCAACCCTCAATGGGAACGTCATTGGTCTGATATCAGACGTGCCATTAATGGACACTTAAGCAGCCCCACCATGAGTCACAGGGAGTGAGTGGAGGCCTACACTCAGCTGATAATGACTGCTGTGTCGAACAAAAACAAAGTGTTCTTTTTTTCTTTCTCCCCTCCTTCCTTGCATGCTCAACCTCTGCTGTTTAGCTCTCTGAACGCTGAACCGTGGCAGCTGAGGTCCGGCAAGAGGACGAAATCCACTCTTATTTTCCCATCCATACACACATCCTTTTCAGAGCAGCCCGGCTATTTCTGTTTTTGAGACTCCTGAGGTTCACATATGGAGTGAGTCTTGAAACCTGCCTGCAGTTTTAATGTTTTTCTGTTTTGTTATTGTTTTCACACATTAGGTCTGTCACAAAGGCTGAATTTCAGCTTAAAAACTGCATTTAATATCAATACTACTATGACGCTGTGAAAAATACAGAGCAGTACAATGACTAGAAACCCGTAATATTTATTATAGATCTTTCTGACACTCTCCGTGAAACAACTCAACTCCAGTTCTAAACTATGTGGTCTGTTTGGCTTTTCATGTGCCGTTCACTATTGAAATCTGCTCATTTGCTCCATCTAGAGGCCACACATCCAGCTGGCAGAACACATTTGGTGCACTAATATGAAAAAAAGTATTCAAATTTGGTTACAAAACAAAACGAGTGCAGTCTACTATTTAAAGAGCATTTTTTTTTAAAGAGTCAAACAAAGCTTTAGCAGAAGGTGCTCAGCCTCTTTTCTTTTTTTTTGTGCTCCTCTGTGATAGAAAACACTGTCATCCAGCCAGGAAGCACCTTCATCATAGCAATCATCTCAGAGGCAGCCATGGCACACATCTCCTGCACCCAAGGGTGTGGAGATGGGCTTTCATAACACACTGACTCACTCACGCTGTCACCTTATCACTGATAATGACTGCGGGTCGTTCTCGTGTGGGACATCCTTCAGCCGTGATGGGCTCTGCTTCCCTCCCACACAGCAGCACAGAGACGAGCATTAGAGGTTAAGAAAAAATACACAGCGGGGGGAGAAAATAAAGAGTGGACCTCTTGTTTAAATGCACACACACGTGCACGCGCGCTCACGCATACATGCAGGGGAACTGAGGAATCAAGAAGCAAAACAGAGGGGGCTTTTAATGTTGTCCACACACATCGTTTGAAAGTCTATATGTGCACACTGTGGGCTTTTGACACTGTTTCATACAGGCAGCATTGAGAGCTTAACGGCCTGTACAGAGAGCTGCTCACACACACACACACACACACACACACACTGCTCACAGAGCATAACATACAGGGAGCACTTTACAAAAAAACCTTGCCATCCTCTGTTCGGTTGCTCATAAAGTGGAGACATTCAGGGCTCAGAGTGGGACAGAGGGGATGGTATGGAGTTTTAAACACACACACATATACACTCACACACAAACACACACACAAACACACAGTACAGAACCAGTGTATTCTCAGACCAATCAATAATCCATTATGAACAGACTGCTCTTCACCTCACACCCTGCTCTAAATCGGCAGACAAAGAGGTCTACTGCAAGCTCTACGATGAAGTGAGAGAGGGGTAAAGCATAGCTGGATGCACACACACGCACACACACACACACACACACACACACACACACACACACAGGCTGTTTGCAAAACATACGCAGTGGAGCTTTAGGACATTATTAGGGTGAGAAAGCGTCAGCTGTGGAGCACAGAAGAAGCTTTTTGAAAACTTAGCGGTTGACAGACAGCGTTCTGCTTCAACTGCTGTTAAGTACTGTAGATTCAGTTTATCAACACATAGACGAGTTAGTCTCTTCTTCTTATTCCTACATTGATATCACTGCACTGTAAAAATGTATGTGCTCAATCCAGGATTCACTTGCATTGCTCACATACTTGCACATAACCACATCTGGCCATGTATGCACTTGTGTCTGCATCCAAGCTAGATGGGGAAATCCTTCAGAGACTAAATGCAGATGGTTGTGGTCCAGATGTTTGTTTAAGTCATTTTCGTACTCGACACTGCCTGATTTAGGTCTGTTCTGACTCCAGATTGTGTCTGGACTGGCAGGTTATTAAGTTTTACTCAAGTTTGGCTCTTTTCTTCATTCTATTCTGACTCGATTGTAACTCCAGTTTTGACTCTAGTTTTGGCGTATGACTGATTTGGGTCTAGTCTGGCTTAGTAGTGCTCTTTTGAGTTATTTTTGATTGACTCTAGGTGGAAAGAAAACCCAAGTATACACGTGTTTTCGCAAACAACACACAATATAAGTATCCCCATTGTGAGGAAATTTAGTTTGGCTGTAGTTGATGTGACTCCTGTCTAAATTGACTCATAATTGACCCCAATTAATGATCTAATCTAGGAGCAGTTTAGGTTTGCTCTACAACCTTTTTGTGCGCAGTTTGGACTGAGTTATGTTGTAGTTTTGGTCTAGTGTCCCTCTAGTCCGCATCCGTCCCTGGTCTGTCAGAGCAGGTCATGCTCATAAGCAGGAAGAGCAGTGGGGGGTTTTGGTTGCATTGTTGGGGTCTCCAATTCCCATCCTATCCCCAATTCCATCCCTGCCCCCCCCCCCCCCCCCATTCCCCCCCCCCCCCCCCCCCCCCCCCCCACCCCATCCCTTAAACCCAGCCAGAACAATAGAGGGGGTCCACTCTGTCTGTGCCTTCTCAAACCTCCCCTCTCTGATAAATAGGCTGACAAGGGATCCTGCCTGCCTCCTCTATTTGCGTGAGAAGGGCCTTTGGACAGAAAAGAGTCCACTGGGTCTCAGTGTGTGTGTGTGTGTGTGTGTGTGTGTGTGTGTGTGTGTGTGTGTTTAGTGGCAGGTGTTTGGGTCAATACTGTCATGTTACATTTTGGTGACCGGTCCATGCTGGGATTAATGTACGGGTCAGGAGGAGAAGGGGGCCGGTTGTCAGCCGTATAGAGTACACTACAGAGTACAAAACCAACAAAACACTCTGTAATGAAGGATGGAAATTTGACGAAAACAGCTCCCCGTTAGGAGTGATTCGTTTCCAATATGATTGATATGCACCTGTAAGTTGCTCTCTGACTGTTGCGCCATGTGACTTAACACTATTGTCTATTTTCTTGACATCTTATTTCGGATACGAAAACTGATCAGCATGGAGTGATACCTGCTGCTTTCATTAAGCTCTGTTTAAAGCGAGAGCTGCCTGCTCTCGAGGGCCCGACTATCTTCAGCTTCCTATGGGACTCAGTGTGTGTGTGTCCGTGTGTGTGTGTGTGTGTGTGTGTGTGTGTGCGTATGCTTCCCTCCCCCCTCCTTCTCAAACTCGGCCTGTTTTTCTCACACCGCTCGTTAACCCCTGGGTGCTGCTGCCCATAGAGCCCCCCTTCCTCCTCCTGCACCACAGCAGCATACCTCACACACACACACACACACACACACACACACACACACACACACACACACACACACACACACATATATACACGCATTGAGATCTGCTGTCACTGTGCAACGCAGACCAAACTATTATTACGTGAACAAAACTACTTTAGAGTGGATAGATGTGCTTCCTGCATAAACTGTTCTCGTGCAGGATTGCTAGTTTTAACTCTTCATCTACACTTGAACGCAAGGTTAACCCTGACCTAGACCTTAATTTAACCCATCAACCTAAATCCAAATCTTAATCCTAAACAACTTGATTAGATGTAAGGATGATCAAAATGTTCTTATGAAACAGGATCTTGCTCATTTTCCTCACAGGGATCGACATTTAACAACACACAAGCATTAACTTCTAAGCTAATTATTTAGAAAGTCGCAACTGTGCGTGTTAAAGGATGAGATGTTTCACTGTTTGCTGTTTGGATCATAGATTGTATATAAGAAGTGGATGTAGTCACCATGATGTCACCCATTGGTTTATGAACTACGTTTTTCAAGCCTTGAGTTAAGCATTTTGGCTGTCGCGATCTTTGTTTTTTGCAACCGGAAGTGACACAAGTGGGAGAAGCTAAATACATCTCAACGCTGAATAATAATAATAATCATTTTTAGATGACCAAAACTGTTAAAAATGACTGTTAATGAACTGAAAACACTCTGATAAAACTTGTTAGATGAAAACGCGGACAGCTCCCAGACCAAATAACTCTGTGGTAGCCACACCATAAATCATACTCATGGTCTATTTGACTCTAAATGGATCATAATTTACTAAATGAACATCGTGCTGTATTGGTGAAGAATTGAAAGTAGAGATTGAGACCATAAACTCATGTTCACAATGTTTACTGAGGTAATAAATCAAGTGAGAAGTAGGGTCATTCTATCATAGACTTCCATACAATCTCACTTATTTTTGCAACCAGAGGAGTCGCCCCCTGCTGGCCATTGTGCTTTGGCTTCACTTTTCCGAACCGGAGGTTGCCCTCTGGTTAAGATACATGCAAATGTTTGCAAACTTCTATGACTTCCCTTACATTGACATCAAATACAAGGACAGGCAGTACGGGCCAGAGAGAGATGAGGTGAAAGAAGTGCTGCTGTAACTTGTTGGCGTGACGGCCGCGAAAGCAGAAGAGGCACTCGTGGTAATAGTGTTCGATTGAAATCTATATTGAAACTCCTCCATCTCTTTTCACTCCATGCCCAACTGTCCACCCTTCTCCAACCTCTCCCTGTCTTCTACCTCCTCTGCCTCTGCGCCCCTCCATCCGTCTGCAGCCCCTTAACAACCTCTGCAACCGAACCTAAATCAGTCTCTCTGAAGTGTAATTAGACCGGTGACCTCAAAGCCGGCCACCAGTCTTTCAGACTGTCACACTTTCTGATATAACCGCTTTATTCTGCCGCTCGCTGCACCAGTGGTTAGTGAGTTTACACAAACACACACACACACACACACACAATTTCAGCTGAATTTCAACCTTAAAGGACATCAGATTACAAAAAAACTAACTACAATGATACCAAAAAGACTGCAATGTATTTTAATATCCAAAATTCAGCTTCAAAACTGTTCCACTAGCAGTATTTAACATGTGTTAGCATGGAGCTGTCAGGTCAATGTTGTGCTAGAGAACCAAAAAGGATTTTGGTGTCTGTCATCGCGTTGCTTGATAGCTAAATTGACCATTCATGCATGATTATAGGAACAAAAGTCCATGCTGAGGTGTTGAACTGGCACTCCGATAGCTTTGTTTTTCCTACGCATGAACACAGTGTGTCTGTTTGACTTTTCTTTGACTTCTCATTTACATGGTTACTTGTTCTTGTGGTTTTGTTTTAAAACCTGTCTTTACCTTTAGGCAAAATCTCAAGATCGCATCCTCCAAGAGTTGTCAAAAGGAGATATGAGAACATAACAGGGCATCAGATCTGGCTTTGACTCTTTATGCCTGAACACAAATAAACACACAAACGCACACACACACACACACACACACACACACACACATACACACATACACACACATGCACACACTGGCAGGCAGGATGGGAGGGTTTTCCACAGAAATCTCCTGATGGCTCTAGTACAGAGAGAATGTGTGGGCTCCAACAAGCAGTTGTTGTTGTTGCAAGGTGGTTCACACACTGCTCTTAAGTACAAACACACACATTCATGCCAGAAATAAAAAGAACACATAAATATTATAAAGAAGCAAAAAGAAACTCCAAGCAAACCTGTGGGTAAAATCCAATTGAATCCCCTGTAAAGCGTGTTATTGTGCGGAGTACACTGGATTGAGTATTGAACCCCCTCTGTGTGTGCATGTGTGTGATACCACGTATAGCCTACTATAAATCCTTATTGGATTGTCATAGAAACATTGTAGAGAAATTGTTATGATTTGTAAAGAGATAAAACTGCCGTAGATAATGCCATAATTTCATTGTGATAATAGTGCTGTGCAATACCAAAATCAATACCACAATATGAATAGACTATATTTTTCCAATATTAATGGTTTAAAGGCATTACATCAGCCAAAACTCTACATGCATGTGAAACAAAAACATAAATTACCATCTTATTGTTGTCTTATTGTCTTATTGTTCAGTCCGACTGAGCTGAACACGATTAGTTAATTAGGTGAGTTTTAAGTGGATTTTGTTACTTTTGGATGGAGTTAGGCTCGCCCCCCCCCTGTCTTTATGCTAAACTGAGCTAACAGGCTGCTGGTTAGGTTTGATAGCTTCATATTTACTGTTCAGATATGAAAGTGGGATCTTTCCAACGTTTTCCCAAAACAAACTTCCACTAAAAGAGATACAACCCAACATCTTATACTATCCACTGTAATAAGGTGCCTTTAAATCCACTATTATGTCCTACATACTTTGAGTCCCCATGGGACGATTACAGAAATACCAAAGCGATACAATCGGAAATAAACAATACCACAAAGTTCAATAAGGTCACCCAAACTCATTATTGGCCATCATAAGTCTCTGAAGGAATATTTTGTTTGTAGTGGAGTGTTTTTGTTTGTGTGTGTGTGTGTGTGTGTGTGTGTGTGTGTGTGTGTGTGTGTGCCCAGGATTTCATAGCCAAAAATAATAATGATAAAAAAAGTAAGCGCCACACAGGAACTGGGGCTGCTAGATGAGAATAACAAACGTTGTTATCCTTTTATACGGGACACGGAGTTTTTCTAGAGAGCGCGGCGAAGCTACATGACACATTTCTTTCATATGCCGGCTGACAGCCATTACCGTGAGAGAGAGCTTAATGTGGCTACGTGGTCGTGATGGATGGCTGTACAAAAAGAGCCGGGAGATCCCATCTGGGTCACGTCTTATCAGGCTGCCTGATTCACATTGATGAAATCATGCCGGCTTGTTAACCCACCCAGTGGACAAAAAAAACCTCTAAACTAATACTGATGAAAACAAGGCAGCATCTGACGAGAGAGGGAGCGAGAGAGACGCATGTCAAGGAGAGGAGAAAAGGCAGAGGAAATAATGAGAGGGAGGGAAGCAGAGAGAAGATAAGTGGTAAATAGTGATGTAAAGTCACGGCAGGAGATAGATTGGGATAATACGAGCTGACTGAGAGGGAGATTTGAGAGATCGAGGCGGACAGAGAGCAGGAGAGAGAGAAATGCGGGCTGTAGGCCGAACACTAGAAAATGAACATCATACAGGAATTGTTTTTTTTTGGGTTTATTAGCTGCGTCTGGTGTTTTCTCACTTTCTCTAAGGAAGCGTGATTGAATCACTCAAGAGCAGACTACACGGCTTGTTATGACAGATATTCTTTGCAATGTAACCACAGCACAGGAAATTGGCCAGGATCCACTCTCTCAACGTTCATCCAATAGTCCTACTGAGACAATCTGCTAGTTTAGTTACACTCTAACCCCCTCACCCCCCAAATCAACCCACACTGTGCCGTGCAACAGTGTGCACAGCATGTGTGTGTGTGTGTGTGTGTGTGTGTTCATCAGGTTTGTGTGTAGGTGTGTTTGTGTAAAGGTGGGTGGCTGCGTGTGGGAAATGGTGAGTTTTCAGGAAAATTTGACTTACTTTTTCCTCTGTTTTTACAGATGTTTTAGTTTAGCTGTTTTAGTTTAAAA